TGGTGGTTTCTAGGGGCTGAGAGTAGTAGAGAGCCAGCTGGGAAATGGGAAGATGTTGGGCAAAGGGAACAAAACTTTAGGCAGATAGGGGGAATAAGTTCTGGTGATCTATGATACAACATGGTGAGTATAACTAAGAATAATGCATTGTACACTTGAAAATTCCTAGACAGTAAAACTTGGATGTTCCTATCAAAACAAAGCAGTACGTATGTGAAGTGACAGACATAGTAATAGCTTGATATAGTACTTTACAACATATCTCCATCAAAACATCAAGTTGTATGTCATAAATATATACAATGTTTATCAATTATACATTAAGAAAGCTTTAAAAACTTACTTGGAATTAAAAAGGATTAACACTGAAACTAAGGCCAAGTTTCAAAGGCAAATAGGTTCACTGAATGGAAAGTCTGTAAAAAAGGAAAATCATTCAGTCCCTAACAGAACCTGGGTAGCAGGATTGCTGGAGTCCTGGAGAATATTTTGCAAGTGGAGTTGAATTTGGGATGCAGTCAGTGTGTGTAAAACTAGACACTTCTTTCATATTTTAAGTGTATGCTCTTTTTTTCTGAATATTTTCCTAGTATGTCACATTACGCTTTACACTCCAGTGTTACATTTAATCATAAGCACAGTCAAGGACTTCTCCGAAAAACCTATAGCCCCTGTTGATGTAGTACAATTGTTTTTTTTATCATGATCTACATCTATTGGTGTTTTTAAATTGGGAGGGGGAGGATGGGAATATTTACCCTGGTAGTTGTGTTATATTGATCCACAAGAAATCACTACAAGATTAGTGGTTTAAAGTAATGGTACTTTATTAACTCACAATTCTGCAAGTCACAAGTCTGGGTACATTGTGGCTGCCTCTCTGCTCAGGCTCTCATTAAGCAGAAATCAAGAATACACCAAACTGCATTCTAATCTACAGCTTGAGGTCCTTCTCTAGACTATTGACAGAATTCAGTTCCCTGTTGTTACAGGACTAAGGTCCCTATTTCCTTGATGGCCACAAGACACTGTCAGCTCCATGAGATTGTCCACAATCCACAACGTGTAGCACCATAAGCAGTTCACAGCACAGATATTTGCTTTGTTCCAAGCCAGCAAGAGTACGTTTCTCAAACTTCCTCTTCTCCATTAGCCAGAAAAAAAACTACTTTCAAAAAGCTCATATGATTAAGTCAGATCCATTTTTATAATCTCCCTAATCTTAAGGTCAACTGATTTTGGATTTCAATTACATCTGTAAAATCCCTTCACAGCAGTATCTAGATAGTGTTAGACTGAGTAACTAAGAGAAGGTGAGTATGCCAGGTGGTGGGAATTTTGATGGCCATTTTGGAATTCTGCCTACCACTCCCCACTGAGATGTACCCATATAAATTAAGCATATCATAAAAAAATGAAAGCACGAAATATGAAGCAAATGCTTTTTTACTTATTATTTCTAATACAATATTTTATTCATTAACATGGCCCATTTACTACAGGCTAAGAAATCGACATCAAACTAAGGAAAGGATGAATTAAAGTCCAAGTGTAAACTTAGGTGTATCACAACGTCACAACCCATCTCACGTTTCATAGTTACAAAGTAAAGATGATAACATGATGTTTCCTATCCTAAAATTCTTAAGGGTTCTCTGGATTCAGACTGATTTGGGCTCAACTCCTGACCACTAACTACTACCTGTAAAATTTTGGATAAGCTACTTGACTCTTTTAAATTTCAGTTTCCTTATTTAGAAAATGGTGACAATAACAGTGTCTTCCATTCATAGTGAATTAGGTGAAATTATTATATATTTTATATATTTCATATATTTATATATTTCATATATTAATATATATGAAGTGCTTAATATACTGCCTGACCCTGGAAGCACTAATTTAATGATAGCAATAATATGTTACCAATGAATGAGATAATAGATGAGACTGTCTAGGAAAGTTTGAAGAACTATTCTCAAGCAATATATCTGCATTACATACAAATACCATACCATTAAGCACGTACTCTATATGTATGTTGGATATGTTTAACATTACATATTTAACACATTGTGTGGTTGCAATTCCCATTTCAGCTTGTCCCTGATCCCATTCTCTGTAAACAAATCAGTGTATATGCCCAAGACAAAACAAAGAAAACTGATCATCACTGATGTGATTTGAAATGTATGGATGCTATCCTCATAAACAGATTATGGTTAATATCATGGGTTGGATTAATTATCGGGAGTGGTTTATAATAAAAGCAAGTATGCTCCCTTTCTGTCTCCCTCTCTCATGCCCTTCTTCACTTGGCACTTGAAGGCTCTGTTAAATGTGGGACCTTCAACCTTGGACTTGCAGTCTCTAAAAGCATAATGAATCTCTGCTCATTAAAAAGTATCTGGTATCAGGCACTTTTTAAAAGATGACAGGTTTTATATGAACTTAGTAATCCGAACTATGATCAGTGGATAGAAGTCACAGAAATGCAGACTTGGGCTAAATAAAATGAAATTTTTTAACATTTGAGGTTATCTAAAAATTGGGTAAATAGTAAGTTCCATGTCCTTGAACAACTATCAGAGACATTTGTAGAAGGAATTCATGCATGAGATAAGAGGCTTGTACTAATAACCTTTAAAGAGCCTTTCACCTCCAAATATCATCACATTGGGCATTAGATTTCCAAATATGAATTTTGAGGACACAAACACTTAGTGCACAGTGCTATGCAATTCTAGTTGTTGCTGTTGAATCTCTATGTCTATGTGTTTCAGTCTGCAGATTGATAATTCTACACAAATGTTTGCCATTAGATTAAATTTCAGCAATTAAAAAGTACATATAAAGATGCTATATGGGGCAAAGAGAGCTACAGAAGAAATTTTCTAACAGTTTATGACTTTGATTTTTTTAAGCATAAAGTTCATATGTCTTTATCTTTTATATATCTGGCTATAGATACAGTTTATTGTTTTGGAAAGTAAAATGCTTGGTCTATATTACTAGAAATTTATATCTGATGTTAGATATTGCTGTTAGAAGCTCCACATCAGTCCATCATTTCATTTTCTTTAGAACTATAACTTATTTTTTGCATGCATCAGGCCTGCAGTGCAGAAAATATGACATTTTACTGATAGACTAGATACAATCCAAGACTTGCTTATGGGTATTTTTTCTAAATTTAGTTTCTTGGTAACATTTATTGAACTGTTCCAGAACTATAATATGGTACTCATAAGTAGGTCCAGGAATCTTAGGCATGTTGTAACATTGGAAACAAATCTGAGGTCTTAATTTTATATAATTCTACTTTATAAATGACAGGTTATATATTTTAATATTTTCCCCCTGGTTCACAAAATACTGTAGAAAACCCAAGCAATATGCAATGATACAAATAAGGCACACATATTTTGTTATTATTTTTTAAATCAGCAACTAAAGTCAGTCACCATCAATCTTTATAAATATTCTCCCAGAATTCTCTCTATATATAACTATACAGATATATTGACTCATGATTTTACACAAATGTGATTATACATATAGCATTCCATATAACATGTTTTCATTGAACAAAAAATAAGCTCTAATTCCAATGAAGATAAGATCTTAACTCTTCATAACTTATAGTAAGTATATTGTTCCTGTCTGTTAGCACCTTTCCTTGGAAAAATATACTCAATGAATACCTCATGCAGTCTTACCAAAGAAGATAATCATGATTGTCTCTCCCTGATTGTTGTATGGCAGTGAATTAGCTGAATCAGGTCTGACAAATGAGTTTTCTAAGCCTCTGGTAAAATGGGCTTAAGACCAATCAATATCCTTTTTAATATATAAACCCTAGGAGAAAATCTTGCTTCCTTTAGGATTCAGAGTGAAGGCATTATTATGGCTTGTATTCAGATGTCTCCCAAAGCCTCATACACTCATAGGTGGGGATCTGACTGGATCATGGAGGTGTGACACATTGTCATGGAAGTGTGATGTTTGATCTAGGGTGTGTGATACTGGATTAGTCCACAGATGGGATTTATAGCTGGGTGTGATATTGGGAGGTGAAGCATTGCCAAACTTATTTTAGCAGACAAATCATAACTGCGTATAGTTTAGGGGCACAATGTGATGTGTTAATCTATGTATTCACTGCAGAAAGATTTGATCAAGCTAATTAACATATCTATCACTTTACAACCTACAATTTTTGTGAAAATGTTAAAAATCTATTATTTTAATTAACATTCTTGGAACTTGCAAAAACCTAATCTCATAATTACTACCTTTTAACAATAGTTATATCCTCACAAAAGTTCACAAATTCTTTTTTTAACAGTTTAAAAATTTTTTTTCCATAATTTTATTGAGAAACAAATAGCAATGAGACAGTTTCAAACAAAATTGGTAGGACAGTTTCAATAATTAACACATTGCATACATTCTTCCTAGTGGTTAATTGCTGTACAAGACGCAGACATGATATCCTATTTACAAACACTATTAGAACAAATCCCTCTATTCATTAAGAGAATGTAACTATATATCTATCCTAACCATTTTGAATACAAAGATACAAAATGGACATTCACCTGTATCCCCCTTTTTTGTTAAGTTCTGTTATTTGAATATTATAGGTGTGTAAACTCAGCAAAATATTCTAAAAGAGTCCAGTAGTCCACAAATTCTTTATTGCACTACTTTTGAAATCCAAAATGCTCTAAAGCCCAGGTTTGTTTTGAGGTACAGTGTCACTATGTAGCTCAGGTTGGTCTCAAATTCATGATCCTCCTGCATCACCCTCCCAGCACTGGGATTACAAGTGTGCACCACCATAGTAGGCTAAGTTTCTTTTTTTAAGGAAGCTGACAATTAAGCTGATCTATGAACTCATTTGCTTATACAGTGCTTTTCTTAACCCCTTAGGGGAGTCAGAGAATATACAGTATGTAGCATTTTAATTTATGTGAATCCAACACACTACATCAGACCTTGTCCAGGTTCCTTGAGAAGAACTCTAGTATCTCCTTCTAGCCTGAGGCTATGTCTCTGGTACCAGTCTCGACTTTCCTATGGTCATCTTTATACCATAGTTGAGGCTTCACAAACAACTTTCATGAACCTAGTAGGAAATCAGAGAAAAATAAGTACACCTTGTGCTCATACTAAAAGTCAGTGACCCATTAAGAAAGACAATGCATGGGAAAGAGATATAAAAATTAGTTTAGATGTGCATGCAGGGCTGGGGAGATGGCTCAGCAGAATAAGCACTTCCCTGGCAAGCGCAAGGGCCTGAGTTCAATCCCCAGTTCCACCAAAAAAAAATGTGCATGCACTACCTTCCAACAATGAATTTGATCATTATGTACTACAAACACCTATTATTACTGAGCATGAAATCTTTCTACATATATCTTCATTTTCACATACTTAACTTTATTTTTATTAATATATGTCACACATATTTATCACATTCATCGTATGGAATTTTTATCTAAGCATAATATATTTTAATTGTTTTTTCCCATTTCTCTCCTTTCAATCCTTCTTCCCCTACCCATTTATAAAAGCTTCATTCCCATTTCTCCTTCATTTTTTCTTTTTCCTTTCCTTCTCTTTCCAGTCCATTCTCCCTTGTTCTCCTGCCCATTTTAATGTGTTCTTCCTCCTTCCCAATATCCATCCTCCATTATGCTCTTTATTTACTCTTTTTCATATAAGAGAAACAATGCAATATTTAAACTTGTGTGCCCAATATATTTCACTTAAGATTATGGTCTCGTGGTACATTCATTTTTCTACAAATGATTCAAATTTATCCTTCTTTATGGCATAATTTTCTTCATCTTCCGATGGGCACATGGTTTTTTCCAATGTTTAGCTATTATAAATTGTGCTGTTATAAACATGGGTATGCATATATCACTGTGCTGTGATACTCTTTTGAGAAGATACCTAAGATGGGAACAGCTGAGTCACATGGAACCTCTAGTTTTTGTTTGTTAAGTAATTTCCATAATGATTTTCATACTGATTGTACCAATTTATACTCCCACCATGGAGAAGGGATCCTTTGTCTCCATAGAGCAGCATTTAATATTCGTTGGTTTCTTGACGACAGTCATTCATTCTGGAGTAAAATGTCATCTCAGTGTTACTTTGCATTTCCTGAGTGATCAGTGCTATTGAGCTATATATGAAGAAAAACATTTCTTCGTATATGTTCAAATAAATATATGGAATAGATTTGAAATGTGTGAAAATGTATTAAAAACATATGAAATACATAAAAATGTATCAATATATGAAATATATGAGAAATGTATTTGCAAACAAATATATGAAAAAACGTTCAACAGCACTGGTCACTTGAGAAACACCTATGTTCATCACTGGACATTGAGGAGTCAAGGATCAGAAGTTAGTTACTATCTTAGCATTGCATGGTTATCTGTTCAACGTAAAACATCTGGCTGACACACATTTTGGGCAGTATGTAAAATTTTCTCTCACCTAAAGTGTTGGCAACAATAGGCAAGTATAGAAAAAAGTTAACCAGAGGCCTTATACTGGCTCAGCTCCATCAATAAATCCATCATCACTTTATTGGCACCATCCACGTGTATTTCTCACAGACCCCACCCTTTCGCCTTCAGAATCATCTCTAGAGATCTTAATTAGAGATCTTGTGAATAGGGGAGTTTATTCCTCTAATGCTAAAGGGGTGGACCTCCGACTCAACTTGGGTGGGTTATTCCAGGCTCGGATAAAACAAAGAAAATACTCTACAAACCAAAATGCCCACACTAAGGTTTCCGGACATTTCTTTACAAGAAAAAAAAAAGCAGTCTCAAAAATCATTCCTCTCAAAAGGTCTCTGTTTGCAAGTGCAGAGCTGAAAGAGTTCGTAGGGAAAATACTTACTTCGAACCCCAACAATGCCCGAGGAGAGCAGGCCAGTCAACAAGCTTCTCCCGCGTACGTCCTAAACTCCACCTACGCGTGGCTCACCCCTCCCTTCACGGGTACTTCCGGCCTCCGCCTAATACCCTCAACGCGCTTGCGCCGTTTTGATAGGCTTCTGGAGCATAACTAAGCAGAACTCTGCCTCTCTGGGACCGCCCCCGCCACCTCTTCGCCCCGCCCACGCTTCGACCGCCCCCCCCAGCCCAAATCTCGCGAGGGTAGGTGTGCGTCGGTATTTTGCGGGCTACTCGTTCTCTCAGCTGCTGTAATCGCTGCTGCAGGAGAAATTGGAGCTGCCGTCGCTGGCACGCCCGCCCTCCCCCACTAAGAAGAGCTACGGCCTCTTCTCTCACGCTCCTTATACACCTATTGGTGGGAGCGGCGGCAGCAACAGTCCGTGGACCCTCTGCCGCCTCTTCTTGCGGCTGCTCTACCGGTCATTCCCTCGGCCCCTCAACTGAGGGGGGCCCCCCGTCCCTAACCAGCTTCCTACTTCTCCCTCTTCAGCTTCGCCTGGAACCCATCTCCCCAGTCTCGCCGGGGTGGAGGACGACGAAGAAGAACCAGGAGAGTCACCCTTCCTCCAGGCGGCGCCGGCCCCCACACCGCGGGTGTGTCCTATAAATGGCGTCTGAAAGCGACACCGAGGAATTTTATGATGCCCCTGAAGATGTGCACCTTGGGGTCGGCTACCCAGTAGGGTAAGTAACAGAGCTATGGCTCTGAAACTGGGCGTTCCAGTCCTGTGCATTTTCCTGCCCGTGCCCCTTTTCCTCTCCCAGGTCCTGTGTCTGCCACCGCTGGTTACTCCGGTCTCACTGGAGCACTTCACGACCTGGACCTGGGGCTTAGGACAGGGTGCGTTGGAGGAGGAAAAAGCGCCCACCTCAAGAATCACCTTCCTTTTTCCCCAGTGAATGGCCCTAAGGGCTGTTTTGGGTCTCCGTTTCTAGTTTCTTCCACTGGGACAGCCTAACGTGCGGGAGAGCCAGAGACTTGGATTCTTGAGGTTCCGACTTTACCTTTTAAACATCCGTTTTGGTCTTGGGGACCATAGATTAAATTAGCGGTAGGGAGAAATTGCACTGCCCCGGTTTTTTTCTTCTTTTCCTTCCTCCTCCTCCTCTTCCTTTCAACCGCTAACTTACCTATTTGTTTTAGAGGTGGTTAGAACTCTTATTTCCGTCCACTTTTCTTTGCACAGAAAAAGAGTGAGAGAAAGGTTGGATATTAAGTCTTCTAGCTGGTGTACTCTAGATCAACTGTTTTACTAAAATAGCACCTTACCTGGAGGCAAAGAAAATCGAAGACAATATCCTTACCGTTAAGGTAAGGTCTAAAAGAGTAGCGGGATGTAAGTGTACTGGTACACATGGACTACGGAGGTACAAACGGTTACTGAGTAATTTGGTGCTTGGAAGGAAAACTCCAGCTTTGTGTCCTTCATCAAATTTGGCAAGATGTTTTAGTAGTGATTAATATGGGTGATTCTGAAAGTACAGTAATTGGAATGGTTCACTTGACCACAAGTTGTACTTACCACTCCTACACTTTTCAAAGTTGAGACGGTGTTTAAAGCGATTTTGCTGAACTTTAGAACTAGAGACAGCAAAATGATTTTCCTGCCTGTAAAAACGTGAGAATGAGTAAAATTTGTATGTTAGTGTAAATCACTAGTGTGATTGCTGAGGTTCAATAGCTCTCACCACCGAAGAAATACCGTTTGATGCAAATAATCAGTACATTCTATAATTTATTCTGAAATCTAATACACATTATAAAAATATATACCCCAGAAATTATGGCAATAAAATCAGCAATATATGCTAATAAGTTGCACAAGTGTGTTTCCAACCATCTCATATCACTATTGTGAGATTTTGGGGTGGTAATAACCAATTTTGAGATGGCACTGAATCTTAACTCCACTATCTGAGACAAGTTCAAACCTTAGATACTGGAAGATAGAAAAATGTTTGGATTTTTAAGTATATTGGTTTCCCTTCAAATTAAAAATTTTGGTGTGTGGTTTTCCTTTTAAAATAATACTGTCAATTTAGGTTATAAGACTGAGTATTTGAGTACTTACATTGTATGTGTGTTGGAATCGAGGAGGGAAGTAACATGATTGTTATCAATTTATAGCTATGTATATATAGCTCTTTTTCACTGAATAAAATAAGTATAATTTCAAAAGACAGTTATCTCAGGGCCTGTATCAGCTGTTTAGTCCAGTACCTGGCTGAGGAAGTGCATTCAAATAGTCATTCCTTTTTTGTCAGTATCAAATTGTTAACTTTACATAGTGCTTACTTTGGGAGTACATACACAGAATTTGGACCATTTTACCTAGCTAAACTGGATGAGTCATTTTGATAGAATTGATAATCACTCCTTCCCTCTGGGATAATATAGCTTCTCATGCACTTTGATATTTTGGTACTAGGTGAAAAGTTTAAAAAGAAAAGAAGGTCCCTTGGAATCCAGCTTCCTAATTTAACTCAAACCTGTCCAAATATGACATGTTGAGCACTCTATGAATAAAACTATATAGAATCTGTCTAGATTCCATGTCTCCACTGAATGTTTAAGTGAGAGGACTTGGAAGAATATTGGCTCATCTGCACAACTGCATCTGAAAAGAACTAGCATATTAAGAGGACTGAAAAGGGTGACGTCATTTATATCTTCTTCTGTCTTTTGTGATAGGTGTTTTGTGTTTGCATAAGGCACTGTGAGCAAACTTGCCTTGGCAACTAATAACCTAGAAATGCATTAAGAACTCTTAATTTGTGGAATCAAATGGCATCAGTCTTTAGTCATCAGAATTGTCTTCTGTCACTTGGCATGAACTGGAGTGACAACTATACAAACTCTTAAGAGTGATAGATTGAATTTGACACTTTAAGAAATGTTTCTTACTATTGTGTATTGAGAAATACACATATTTATTTGACCAAATTGTAATAAACTGAGCAGGCAGTTGACAGGTAATCTCATGTTTTGTTAATCACCAAAATCCACATACATAGTCCCTTTCTTGAAATTGTTTCATTTCTAGCATTGTTATTTTCTGCTTTGTTTATCTACTCTTTGCAAATAAATGTAGAAAAATTTTTTTAAAAGCTGGGTTTTATTTAATAGTTTTGAGTCCAATACAGCCTACTTTTCCAGTGGCCAGTCATCTCTTGCTCAGGTTTGCAATATATATCACAGTATAATGCTTTATTTTGATTGATATTTTAAGTCCAATTTTCTTATTCTTATCTCCAGTTTTACATATGAGGATACTTAGGCTCAGAAAAATTAAGTACATTGTTCTAGGAGAAGAGCTGGGATTTGAAACCAGCTCTTCAGATTCATAGTCAACAATTTTTCTAGTACATCATAGCTACCCCACACTATATGGAGAGATTATGAGATATCCTCCTCCAATCGATTGTAATTTGAACTGATGCATCTATTTAAAAACAACAGACCAAACTTTTAAGTTCTCTTGGCTAGATATTCTTACTTTCTCTTTTAGGAATATATATTTGTTTTGTCAGATAGAAATTTTGTAAGACCATAGACTATAGAAGGCATAATCTAGTTACTTTTTCTATAAAATGTTGACACTGAAGCCCAGAGAGGGAAAGTGACTTGTTCCTGATGCTACAGCAAATGAATGGCAGAACTATGACTAGATCTCAGGTCATTTGCCATCTACATTCTTTCTTCTGTCATGAGCAATACAGGAGGAAAAAGAAGAGGAACTGTTTTATAGTAGGAAACAGCCTTAGACTGTGAGTCATTTTATTTCCTCATCTTTTACTTGAGAATATATTTTTGAGAACACTTCCAACTCTACATATCTGTCATTGTATTGAGATTTAATAGTATACGTTTATTGATAAGTTGTTGTTCCTGGGAAATCTTTCTGTGATATTTTTCTTCCAGTGGGGTGTGAGGGAGGTGTATCTTTTGACCTTTTAGTTAAACTAGATAGCTTTAGTGCATGGCTTAAGACCAATTTGCTGGGTAAATCATGTATGAGTTAGTATGCCTTCTAACTGCTATGGATTATACCTACACATTTTGAAGGCTGGCACTGGGAACATGTTATAAAAATAAATATAACATTTTCAGCACTTTTTAATGGCAGCTAAAATATTGTTGAGACCTGAAAGAAGGATCAAATCATACATTTGTAGACTAGGAAGAGACTGAATGTAACCTAGGCTCAGTGAAGGGAAGTAAGACACAGCTGATTAGTAGACTAGGAACTACAACCCAAGTCTCCTGATTCTTCATATAAATGATGATGCTATTATCTGTGGAAGGAGGGAGAATAATTCTGGATATTCATACTATAGGTTTCTGACATATGCCCTGCTAAGGTGTTCTCCTATCCAATATGACTAGTTCTTTATGGTTTACCCACCAGAAGACATTGTGTGTTCTAGGAACCTAACTATTGCTTGCTAATTTTCTCCAAGTCAGAATGAGAAACAGTGGCAAAATAGTTTATCTAAGAATAGTGGTTATATTATTTTATTGTATTTTAGTTTTAAGAGTCTAGTTAGAGTTAACTTGAATGCACGATGTTTAGATTTCAGAAATGACAAAATCTTGATTAAGTCTTTGAAACTGAGCTCAAAGTGTCTAGAAGAATTACTCTAAAAAACAAAGTTACATAGCTGCCTTTGTTTATAACTCAGATTTCTGTTTACATAGATGTGAGAAATGTCTCTTAAATTAAAATATTTGTTTTCTTTTTAATTTTTTTATTAGTACATGGTTGCAGATGTTTTAATGGTGATTACATTTATCATTAGGAGTTGGTACACGTACATAAGACATGTTAATTCTTTTTTTGTCCTGTACTCATTCTTCTATGCCCCTTCAATCTCTTAGTTGCTTTCCCATTTTCAAAAGCTCTATCTCAATTTTTTTCTTTTTTCAGTTATTATTTTCATTCCCTTTTCCTCCTTACTTCCTCCATGACTTGTCATATTTGCATAATATAATTATTTTAATAAACATCCTTTAAAATGCTTGTTTGAGCCATCTATGGTGGTGCATGCCTGTAATTCCAGCACTGGGGAGGCTAAGCCAGGAGGATTGCTACAAGTTGGAGGCCAGTCTGGGCTACATAGCAAGTTCAAGGCCAATCTCAACTGTATAGGGAATATCTCACCCCAAAATAAAATAAAATGGCTGTCTCTAAGCTGGTACTTAATTATAGATTATATTTGTTTACTATTGGTTTTATGGACTGACAGAAAATTTTTTTAAAAGTTTTATTTTATTTACTTGGTATAGGGTCTCACTATGCAGCTTGGACTCATAGTGATCTTCCTCTCTCCACCTCCCCAGCACTGGGATTACAGTCATGCACTACCACGCCCAGTTTCAGTGGTCAGCATGGTGGGGGCCAGCACTGCATACTGTACCAAGGATCGAACCCGGGCCCTTGCACTTGCCAGGCAGGTGCTTAGACCACCAAACTATCTTCCTGGCCCCTTGATAGAAATTTTTAAGTGCTATCTTACACACTCATGTAGCGTCACATTGAAGTGGGAAAAACTTTCTACATACTAATTAGTACATTTAAGTTCTAAATATAGTGAGCCCCAACTGTCAGTTGGTGACTTGTGGAGGTAGAACTGTTGGTAGCAGTAAGGTGATTTGGGGGCTCAATTTGAATCCTTACAAATTC